CCAGGTTTGTCGGATTCTTCTGCAAAATTGAGAAGGGCAAGGTTAGATGTTAGGTCTGATGGATGGGTGGATGCCTGCACAAGTTGCATGGATAGATGGCAATGGCTGGGCCAGCGGATGGATGCTGGCTAAGGTGAGTGAATTAAAGTGTGGATGGTGGATGGATAGATGAATGAGAGAAAATAGTCAGTTTCTCACCAAGATCAAAGGCTTACTTGAGCTGCGAAGAGAGGTTTCCTCTGAATGGAGCTTTCTGGTGAAGCTCCTGCCGTCTGTCCTGCCTTTCAATGCACTGACTGGCTCAGGTGGCTCTGGGACAACAGGTGGCCGGCCAGCTCACTGGGACCAAGCCCTAGCAGTGTTGCTGGAGCTGCTCAGTGGAAGCTCTGAGCCTCTGCTGCTTTCACACAGTGATGAGGAACAGCAGGCAGCTCCCTTTCCACTAGTTCTCCTGGATGACTAAGCCCTGAGCCCCAACTGCATGCTCAACCCTTTGCTAGTATTGGCATAATTTTATCTCCTCTAAACCATCACAGCCACCTTCCATGATAGTAATTTCCACTCCCAGTTAAGAGAAAGGGAAACTGAGGTTTGGGAATCATAAGTGACTTTACCAAAATCATATAGAAAGCAAATACAGACCCGGGATTTGAACTCTAGTCTTCTTTCCCTCCAAACCCATACCCTCAACCGATTTATTTCCTTTGATTATGACTTTGTCTGCAAAAAATCTGTACTCCATGGGGTTCACCCATGTCAGACTCACCCTACTGGTCTGTCAGAGAGCTAACCTTCTTGTCCAATCAAATACAAGTGTATTTCTCAAGTAACATCTTCCCCAGTACATCCTATTTGTAATTATCACTCAGGCAAGGGCCACACATATCAGTGGCATCCTGCAGTGCAATCAATCAAGTCAAATAAAATTTTTGATATTTCCTGTTCTCATTGAATGCTAATGAAAGTAGATGTAAAAATGACTCCAGAGCATGAAGGCATGCAAGGGAAGGAGTGAGGGGACCAGACAGAGGGCTGAATGGCAAATCAGTAAGTCCCCCTGCAGATTTGGCTTAAATTTAGCAGATGTGTTTTGAGAACCCATTAGGGGCTAAGCTCTGTTACATACATTCCAGATGATGTAGTTTCAGTCCCAACCCTGCCATTTACTAGTTCTGTGAGTTTGGACAAGGTATTTAACCTCAGTGCCTCAGTTTCTTCAGTTGTAGTATAAAAATACCAATAGTACCTTACTAATGGGTACCTGAAGATTAAATGAGGCAAACATATAAAGCACTTAAAAGAGCACTTTCCATATGGTGAAGACTCAATAAATATTTAATTATTACTAAAATTATAACTGTTATAACTATTTTCATTGAGATGTGATTTAATATATTTGGCTAGTAAGAATTATTACCCACATTTTACAGATAGCTGAACAGATGCTCAGAGAGGCATATGAGTTTGCCTTTGGAGAGTGAATCAGTGAAAACACAAATACAAACACAAATACAAATACAAATTTAAAACTAGAAGATTTTAGTTCTAGTTATGGAAATAAGATTTATATACAGCAAACAGACATGATCCACCTAAGGAAAGATTAAGCCCTAGAATAGGCAAGACTCCCTTGCGGGAATTTCTTTGGAGTATGGGGAGTTATGCAGGTGTTGGATGGGAGCTGGGGAGAAGTTGAGAAGGTGAAGAGCGAGATGGAGTTATTAAAACTCTCTTCATTGATGTTACTGAAGTTGAAGTTAGATCAACTTCATGGTTTCTAGAAGTAGTGGGCAAGGTTACCCAGTTCTCATATAAGATCTCATGAAACTTCTTTCTCTACCTGTTTTTAGTGGGGAGACAATGGGCACTTTACAAATGTCTCTTTGCTGGATCTTTTGAGGGTGGCCAGTTGGATGAATTCTGAGTCTCACACCACGTGTGGCATGAGGACTGGGTGACTTCCTCCCATTCCTGGGGCAGCACATTTGGAAGTTGAGTTTAGGTGGCCTGTGGTTGCATGTGGCAGTGGTCCTGGGGGTGTGCACTTGGGTGCGCTAGCAGCCAGGTGGGAGGAGATGGGTTTAGCATTGGTGCTGCCTTCTGGGTAGTGCTGGCTGTAAGCTGTGGTCACAGCCTGGCCTGACTGCAGAATCTGTGCACGTCCTGGAGGGACTGTTGCCACTGCAGCTCCTCCAGGAAGGACAGTTGATTTATTTACCCAGCACTAATTGTGCACCCTGGAGATTCTCTCTGCTCCTGGGGCTGCCCTTTGCATCTCCCACGCACATGCATTCACAGAGGGACACCGGGACACAAATGACACCTTGGGACTAAGTGGGCATGGCAGACCCTGGGGCCAGACTGCCCATGTTCACCTCCTGGCCAGCATCTTCCTTGCTGTGTGGCCATTTACAAGTCACTTAACTTTTCTGAGCCTCAGTTTCCCCATGTGTAAAATAGGACTAATAACATCTTTACTCAGATATCACCATCTCAGTGAGGCTTTCTTCCTCCTTCTCATTATTCCGTCCCCTGCCCTGCTTTATTTTTCTCTATAGTTCTCACCACCATCTCCTATCCCACACATTATACTCATTTATTTTGAGTATTGTCCTTGTCTCTACCCACAGGGATGTTACTTCTCAGAGGAGGGGGATTTCGTTTGTTCTGTTCACTGCTATATCCCCAGCACTCAGACCCAGTGCCTGGTACAAAGCACACGCTCAAAACTTTTTTGGAGGAGAAGAAAAAAAAAAAAAAAGAGAGAGAAATGCTGTTGCATCGTATTTGCTCGTGAGGAGTGCGGATGTATGCAAAGCAGGCGGCGGCATGGTGCTTGGTACAGAGTATGCATTCAATAAATATTGGCTAATTGTGATTATTATGTCTCATTCACAGGACTGTTGTGAGACTCAAACGAGATAATGTATGTTAAAGCATGCTGTGAACACTACGTGCTGTGTACAGGAGGTACAATATTAATGATCCCTGCTGCTTGGAGGGAACTTACACTTAAATGTTGTGGTTTCCATTTTCACACCACCTGGGGGGGGGAGGCCGGTGGGGGTATTGCCGCCTGGCACTCGGGTGGGGAGGGCCCTTGCCCAGGGTCCCGCCATGGAATAAGGCCAAGGCAGGAGCTGCCCTGCAGCCTCAAAGTCTTTCCATGACTCCCTTAAGAAAGTTCCTGATGGATGCGTGTGCACCCGTGTGACATTACGCACGCACACGCGACAGAGAGAATTATATTCCTGTCTCCGGGGCCCTCTGAGGCCGTCGCGCTGTACTTGCCCAGGCCAGTCTGGGAGGGCAGGAAGGAAACGGGCTGTGAATTGTCAGCGAGCGCCATAGCGAGCCTCCTTTGGTTTCTAGGAAATGATTTGAACGTCGAAAAATCTCATGGTGTAGATTTTCTGGAGGGAGGCCCCATTTCATGAAATAAGCGCATTTTCATTTCCAAAGCGCATCCCTTAGTTGGGTTTCTATTTTCCGGGGCACTTGTTTAAGCTTTGATGCTGTGTGCGAAAAAAGCAGATCCCAACAATTTCCTGCCGGAGGCCCATCCTTCCTGAAGCCCTGGGCTTGGCCTGAGCATCGAGATAATTCTTGTCTTTCTTTTTTTTTTTTTTAAATCAAGCTGGGGGCCGTTTGGCCCGCGGGGTGGGGCACGGGGCGGGCGGGGCAGGGCGCGCACAGGGTGGGCGGCGTGGAGGAATGGTCGGTAGTGCAGTTCTTCCTCACGTCGGACCCCCGAGGGTGTTGCTGTCCTCATCCTACAAATCGCACAAGTCGGGGCACAAGACAGAGAGGCCAGGTCACGTCCCTGCAGTTACACAGCTCATGAGTGCCTGCTGGGGTGGAACCTGGTCTGTCTGTCTGTCTAGCACCACGGCGCTGGCGCCGCTTCGGAGGGAGCGCGGGTCCGGGCTCCGAGAGGGAGGGGACGTTGGGGCGGTGGGAGGGGGTTACCTGTTTGCCACTGGCCTGAAAATAACAACTAACTCTGCTTGGGGATTAGTGCGGTGACTGTCTTGCAGGCGGGGAAACAGGCCCAGAGAGGTTAGTTAGCTTTCCCGACGCTGCCCAGCTAGTCGGGGGCCGAGGCTGGGCATTGTGGGAGCAGCATGTGTGCGTGACTGTGAGCACAGGTCGGGCTGGCACCTTGATCTAGGCTTGAGTTCGTGTGCCCACCTCTCCCACGGGCAGGCGTGCTTTTAAGTCAAGCTTGTGTGTCTCACCCTCTCCCTTGGCCCCCTTTTCAGCCCTCAGCTGAAAACTGCAGAAGCCGAGTGAGCCACTGAGCCATGCAAACTATCTTTTAAAAGAGGACAGTATGTGTCAAAACCTTACACAGGTGTAAGGCGAGGGCGACTGTGTCCAGGAGCTGGGGGAGTGCTGGTTTAAGGTCGCTGGGGGGGATAGGAGGGGGAGACATGGAGGTGGTTATTGCCATGGGTGGTTTTTACCCACGCCAGGAACAAGGACCAGAGTGGGTCGTAAACCAAGGAGGGCAATTAATTCCCCACAACTGAAGGGCTTAAAAAGAGAGATCAGAGCAGTTTGTGGCTGTTAATTTTATTACTAAAAATAAAAGCATGAAGAAATAATGTAATAAAGGCCCTGAATGGAACAGTTCTGAGAATGTGTTCTGAACAAGGGATTATGACTAAACCAGGTCTGGTAACCTGATATTAACAAACAAAAAAAGACCTCATAGGCCATTTTCTCCCTTGTACTGGGCTTTGTGTTCCACAGAATGGGCACACTGGGGCTCCCCTGCCACAGTGGGGACCGCAGACAATAAAACCGGGCTTCATGGTGCTCGCTGAACAGTTACAAATGAATGAATGCGTAAATAAAACTAAAGAGAGCCAAGCATGGACCAGTGATGACGATGTTCCCCCCCCCCACTTTATAATTGACAAATATTGTACATATTTAAGTTGTACAATGTAATGTTTTGTAATGTTTCAATATAAATATACATTGTGAAATGATTATCTCAATCAAGATAATTAACATATCCATCACCTCATACAGTTTTCTTTTATTGCATGTGTGGTAACCATAGTTAAGATCTGCTCTCTTAGCACATTGCAAGCATACAATGTGTTATTGTTACCTATGGTCACTGGCTCTACGTTAGCTGTCTAGAACTTATCTTATAACTGAAAGTTTGCACCCTTTGGCCACTATCTCCCTATTTTCCTCATCCCCAACCCCTGGAAACTACCTTTCTGCTCTCAGTTTCTATGTGGTTAGTAAAAAGCAAAACCCAACAGGTTCTAGGCTGTTGAGGCTCTGTGTTGGAAGCACGTCAACAGGTGTACAGGACACTCTTTGGTCTTGGGATGAATGGCGGCTTCAATTGTATTATATTTGTATAATTATATTTGTATAATTGTATAATATTCACTGTATAGTTAAAAATGAATTAGATGAGTGAAAAAAATAGATGACAAAATGAAAGAAGCCCAAGAATAGACTATGCAGACAATGTTTTATGAACTTAAGATTAAGAATAATCCATTTGTGTACAGTTGTGGACTATTTAAAACAAAATAAGACTTTTACTTCTGTGGATTTGTTTTGAATGTACTAATCAATATTTTTGTTCTAGATTAGTGCTGGGTTCATCTGTGTTTATTGTATTTAAAAATAAGTAAAAATATTAAAAAGAATGAGTAGGAAATAATGATGAGATTATATCTGGAATCAAAGATTATTATTATTCCAACTCTGTATTTGAGTCCAGTTGGAAGAATATCTGGGTTGGTTCCTTTGTGGGTAAGAAGCATAGGGACAAGTGCTTGTAATACTCATTGTTTCTGTTTGTGATTAGGGCGGTAAATTAATGCATACTCACTGTAATAATAAAAATTAATAAATGTCTAAATACATGCAATGAGAGCTATGCTTGAGCCAGTGGTGAGACTGTGTCATGAACGAAAGATTATGACTAATCCTGTGCTTCTCACCTGATGGCCATTAAAAAATATCTAGGATGTTTCATCCCTGTTGACATATCTGCCTTGTGTTCCGCAGAGTGGAGGCCCCAAGTGAATGTAATGACACTGTCTTGATGAAGATCTCGGGTGTGACCTTTGTGGGGAATGAGCCGTGAACCCATGTGAGTAATGGCGGATGTTGCTGTCTTGAAGTTGAGTGGTTGGTTGATGGGTGTTTATTGTACTATTAAACACATATTATAAATAAAGTCAAAGAGGGCCAAGCACAGACCAATGATGAGAATGTCATGAACCTAAGGTGATTAATCCCATTTGGCGTAACTGTCACCAAATTAAAAAATATTCCTAGGCTGTTCCCTGCGTAGCAAATGAGCAAAGGAAAAAAGGAACACATGTGTGATATATGTCACCATATCATATGTGTTATGTTTCTTTTTCATATTCAGGTTGGGGGTGGGGTCCTGTATGTTTGTGGATTTATTGAACGTAAGTGGATGCATACATAAATAAAACGAAATAGAGTCAAACATGGATTAATGAAGATAGTGCATCATGATCTAAGATTTATGATTACACAGTTTTGCAAATTTAAGAGGCATTAAAACATAAATATTTATGCTGTTTCATTTATTGTAATAGCATTCTACCATCAGTTTATGCACTATGGTGGGATGGGCACTTCCCTATTGAGGAAGTTTGGGATGTTAATTCAGTGAGAGGGTCACGTGGGGAAGTAAGGTATTGGTAGTTTTCTATTTGTTGGGTAGGAATCATGGGTATTCTTCCAAGATTTTTTAAAGGGATAAATAATATTTCAAAGGGCCCAAGCATGGACTAATGAGGATAAGATTTCATAAGCTTAAGGCTTATTCATTGCTATACAAGTGAGAGCCATGAAAAATGATCCAGGATGTTTATTTTTCTAATAGTTGCTTTCTGTTGCAAAGAACGGACACATCATAGTTTATTTAATCATGCAATATTTATGAGCATTTTGACTTTTATTTGGGTTGATAAGGCACTTAAAGAAAATGTAGGTAATGATTGATGTTCTTAAATCTTTGGCTGGAGAGTTAGTCAAGGGTGTTCATAAATAAGTAAATCAATGAATGAACAAATAAATGAATAAAACAAGAGGCAGTAAATATGGGACAAAGATGATCATATCTCACTGTAGTAAAATCTTAATGTTATGCTGCTTTGGCATCCATTTTTACCCTAAGTGTGACTTCCTCATGTCAGAAGCAGGCTTAATCCCCCTTGACTCAGTTTCCAGTTCTCTAGCCCTCTCCTGGTTCCTCTACATGGCAGATCCAGACATCTGCCTTTTACAATCTCCACCTCCTGGTGACTGCCTCCCTCCCTGTGGGACAGCCCGGTACAGGGGGGGTCAGTGGGGCAAGCACAGATATACTGACTTAGATTCTCTGCAGGAAACCTGCTTGGATAACTCCCTAGACCGCAATAGAGCCTCCCTCCTTCCTGTTGGGTTTTTGAGGCACGCTGGATCTGTAAGTCACACACTGCTTTTGTTATTTCTTGTGTTTTGTTGAGTTGCCTCTTCTGTGTCTCACCTGACTGGCACACCTGAACCTAACTTCTGTCCTAGTTGGAGCTCTCCTGGAAAGTGGCCATCTTGGTAGGAATAAACTGGACACAGGTCAGACAAGAACCACACAGGCAACTACTAGTAAAAACAAATTTCCTGTGAGGGGGACATCTGCTAGGTGTTAGGCTATTGCCAGGATAAAGAAATGTCCCATGAAAGGGACACTGTAAACCTCCATGACCACTTCCCAGCCAAGCTCCATTTAAAAAAAATGTGTTGGTTATGGGGTTAGTCAATATTCTTACTTTTGCATGGTATATAATATGTTGGATGTCAATTTTCTACTAAAAATAAATAATTACATAAATGTATAAAATAAACAAAAGACCAAAGCATGGACTCCTAATGAGAATAGTCCAAGGATGAAAAGATTGTAGTTGATTATAGTTAATTCAGTTCTGTGCTCCTCACTGCCATAAAAATAGCCTAGCTTGTTTTTATTCCTTTAACATCTGTTTTGTATTTCATTGTGTGTGTGTGTACATAGTTTATTTAAACATCCATTCATAAATAAAGATCTAGGCTATTTAGTCTTTGAGCGAGGACCACAAAAGGAGACAAAAGATGAAAAATAATGTCAGTGTTCTACTTGTGGAGTAAGAGATTGGATTTAGGGCGGCTCATTAAAACTTATTTAGAATAAAAGAGAGCCAGCATGAACCCAGGGTGGTAATGATTCCTGAATCAAGGGTATGATTAATCCAATTAGGTTCATTGGGGAAAAGTTCTAGACTTACCTAAGGGTAAAGAGTGTACTCCAGCACTGTCCCACCGAACTTTCCGCAGTGATGGGAATGTCCTATAATCTGCTCTATGCAATGTGGTACCTACTAGCCACATGAGATTATTGAGCACTTGACTGTATTATTACTAGCCAATCAAATATGGCTCATGAGTATTGATTATGTAAGTATTTTAAAAGGGGATCAATGACTAAATCATTAAACAAATTTTATAAATGTATAAGAAAATTTATTAAGAAATGTATAAATGAATAACAAAAAGAGGCCACACATGGACCAATGAATGGTTACGAATATATTTTTGAAGTACTGAAGTCAATAAAAGATACACACCCACAGGGGTGGATATTTGCTCTTGTTTCTACAAACGGAAGGAGTTTTACATAAGTAAGAGAATTAAAGAGGACCCATGTTGAGAATGTGTTAGATAATAAGAATTACAATTAATCCAGTTCTGTTCACTGTGTTCATTGAACAACAGAGATAAGAAAGAGCTAGTTGATTATCTCTGCGGGTAATGGACAGATTGACAGATGTTAGTTTTATTCAGAGTTTTTGACCAGTTTCTTTAGATTCCCAGTGATAAATTATAAGGGAATGAATGAATAAGTTTATGTCACAGTTAAAAGAGGGCAAATGTTGGACCAATGATGGACATAAATCATGAACTGAGTATTAGGGTAAAGCCATTTCTATCTTGCTGATTCCATATAAAGGATATAAAGTCTGGACTCCCAATTGGTTAATGTTCACAGATAGATTTATGTCGCATTGCTTAAGTTTGGTCTGTTGGTGGATTTGCCCTTGTTAATTATCTTTTACAAGATAGCTATAGGATTAAATTAATCTATGACTAATTAAATCAAATGATAAATAAATAGACAAATACATAAAGAGGGTCATGGATGACTTGTTAATTAAGAATAAAAGTTAAAAAAACAATGGGCATTGGTGAAAATATACCATGAAGCAAAATTTAACATTAAGAGCATGCTTCATTCATTTGGTTGGCTGGTTAACATTTCATTTTTTTTTTTTTTCCACCACTGTTGATTTACACATTCTGCCATTGATTACAAATTTAGGTTTCTAATCTAGTGGGAAAGAAAACACAAGGAAAGATGGGAAATAGCGTCAATGAAGTAAAATGGGCGGTTCTTTGTCAAATATTTAAAATTTGGACAAATTAAAGAGAGCCCAGAAGGGGCCATGAAGAGTGTGGGATTGCAACAGGGTGTTTACTGAGCCATGTGGGACAGTGAGGTCCACTGTGGAATTAGATTTAGTGTATTAGCCTTGGGAGAAATGAGCCTAAATTAATTAGTAATAATATTCATACATCTTAATCTTGCTTTGCTGTAATTTATGAATATTGATTAAGTAATATTTATTTAATCAATGAATAAATCAATAAACAAATGTATAAATGAGTGAAGGAAAAAAAAGTCCCAAGCCTAAAACAATGATGAGTCCCCTGGGGTGTCCAAATCAAGGATTTTGATTAAACCGTGTAATGTCAAGGTCCGTTATAAAACAAACCTAATTTACTGCCTCAGCAGGACATGAGCTTGCAGTTGCAGAGAGGAATATAGATGTCTTGTTTTTGAGATTTTTGCAGATGTCAGGTATGAATCCTGCTATTATTAGTGAATCAGTGCACAAGTAAATAAAGAAACATACCGATGAATGAAGACAAAGAGGGCTAGATACTAATTATGAGAGTACGAAATGAGGTGCAAATTATTATTAAAATATTTCTGAGGAGCTGAATTCCCATGAGTAGACAGTTGAAGGCTGTCACCATGTTGTTTAGGAACCTATGAACAGATACATATGTAAGAGTCACTGTTGTTTTGGGGTTGGTAGCTGTTAATTTTATTAAGTATGTTATTAAGAAAAGAGAACAAAGGGGAGCCTAATAAATCACTGATTACAGAGCTATCTAATGGAAAGGAGATTAAGCAGGGGACAGGTGTTGAGCTCGTGAGCAGAAACTGGGGTTTTTGATACAGGTTCCTGAATCTGCACTGCTTCTCGAGTTTTCTAAAATCTGCTTTTTGCTCCACAGATTCAATATACCAAATCTGATTTATTCATCATCCAGTGACGGAGATCTTGGCCGTCACTTCTCTGGACGAGGAGCCGAGGGAGGCAGGTAAGGGACAGAGTTCGTGCTGTTGGTTGGAAGGAGCTTATTCATGTTCACGGAATTGTTTCAAAGGAGTGAACGGCTCCCGCAGACATAAATAGAACAAAAAGTGCTAGGCGACGTTAGGTGTCCTCACCGCAGAAATGACAAATATGTGGGGTGACGTATGTGTTCATCAGCTAGATTTAGTTATTCCACAAAGTATGTATACTCCAACATACCGTGTGGTAAGGGATAAATGCACCCAATTTTATCTGTCCATTAAAAAAATAAAGTAATAAAACCAAAATAAAATGAAAGAATGCCATGCATGGAGCAATATTGAGAATGCATCATGGACCATGGAAAGTTGGGGGGTGCTGCCATCGTTTTCACAGTTGCTTAATATTCCATTCTATTTTCCCACCACATTTAGAGAACACTTCTCTACTGACAAAGACCAGGGCTTTTAAGTGGTTGAGGGAGTGTGTGGGAGGAGGGAGAATTGTTGGGGTTCCGGCTGTGAAGTAACACGGTAGGCTGTCCATTGCACTGTCTTTAGATTACGAAGAAATTAAATGAAAGGTGAGCAAGCAGATAGCAGCGAAACACACAGGATGGGCAGGAAGCAGGGTTATTGATTAATCTATAGGTACAGCTCTGAGGTCCAAATTAAAAAGAGAGCTTGTCTACCAGCTCTGTGGGAAGAGAGCCTGTAAATAGCTTTCCACAGCAGTCAAAGATCTTGCTCTCGGGTTTTTGTGATTCATGGGTATTAATTTATTTTATTGGTGAGACCATGAATGAAATAGTCAATAAATAATGCATAATCAGTGAACAATGTATAAATAAATAAAGGAAGAAAAAGTGTCAAGCTTGGATCAGTAATGAGTGGTTTAGGGGTATATTAATCAATAATTCTGATTAAACCCTGCACTCTGAAGTCCATTAGAAAGAGATCTAGTCATTCCCTGTAAGGGAATGGAGTTCAGAGTGAATGTTCAGGCCATTTGGGGAGCTGGTTCTTGGGCTTTAGTGAATAAATAAATGTGTAAGTGAAGATAGAGGTTGTCATGTGTGGATCCGTTTTGAGAGTGTGTTGTGAAATGTATTAGTAACACATTTGTTTAATACTGAGTTTCAATATAACAGATAGGTAGAAGCTGTTACCTGCTTCAGTGCTCATAGGAGCTGCAGACACATAGAAGCACGTAGACAGACACCTCTAAGTGTCCCTGTTGACATTCCTGATTGGTAGGAGGTTGCTAGTTGTTGGTTATATTAAGAAGAAGGGAAAAATGTTTACATAAACAAATGATTACATGACTAATGGAAAAGGAGCAAGCATGTGCCAATGTTGAGAATGGGCTGTATGACACCAGACATGGTTAAATCCAATTGTGTTCACTGAATTTTATAAGAAACAACAAAAACTGACAAGGGATGTAGTCCATTATCTCTGTGACTAATGAGCACGTGGGCAGTTGTTCGTATTTTTGGTGTTCAAGTATAGAGTCTAGGTTTTCAGGTCCTTATATATTGTTTTAAGTTGTCAAATGAATACGATCATATCTCAAGCAATTACTTAAAAGAGGGCCAACTGTGGACAGTGTGGAGTGTGTGTGTGGAACACAGCTAATGAGTAATCCTGTTCTACTCTCCTGATGTCCAAATGGAGAAAGTGGGATCTAGGTTCTTTTCACATGAGTTAAGGCCATGGAGACAGGTGTGGAATAAGAATATTTCAGTTCTGGGTTGTTAGTGGGTTCACTCTTTTTTATTAAGAAGGGGCTAAGTATGAACCAATATTGAGAATATATCATATTATCAGGGTTATATAATAACCTATTTACTGAGTTTCATTTTTAAAAAAATCAGAAGAGGATTTTATGGGTTAGGTTATGTCTACAGGCCATGAGCATGAAGGCAGATATTGAATGTTCCTGTCCTTTGTCTTGGCTTTCATTGTTTTTGACATATTGTTATCAGGGAATTAAAAGGGCTGTTTTTATCTAGATCAATTATTCAAAAGAAGGCCAAGCATAGGCCAATGTAGAACTTGTTCTTATGAACCAAAGATAATGATTGCTGCTGGTATACCCAAATGCTGCCCAGATAAATACAAATACACAGAGATCTAGTTCCTCCCCATTTGGATAAAGAACACATTAAAATTTGCATGGAGCAATTCTTTAGAAAAATGGGTAGATAATTTATTCCATGCATAATTATATACATGAATAAACAAATGAATCACTGGACATGTAAATCAGAAAAATGTGTGCACCATTGGTGAGAATCTGCCATAAAACAAAGGTTTATATTTATGCAATTTTGTACAAGTTAGGTTCACTGAGAGCAGTCACCCAGCTGTTATGTTTACGGACGAGTATGTAGACAGACATTTATGATACATACAGTTCTTACTCTCATGTTCGTATTCATTATATTATTTAAAAGTAAAAACTATATGAGTGAGTAAATAAGGAGTGCCATTCTTGGACAATGATGAGATTATGAGCTGACTCAAATTTATGATTAATCTAACACTGCAAGACAAACTTCTGTTAAAAAATATCTAACTGTAGGTTCTTTCTCTCTTTTGAAAGTCCGTATTTTGCTTCACCAAATGCACACGCCACAGATGACTTAACCATTCTCTAGTGCTAAAGATCTCGGCCTTTTCCTCTGTGGGTAAGGAGAGAAGAGATTAGTGTAAGTAGCAGCTAGAATTTAATGTTCTCGGGAGGTTGGTTTATGAGCGTTACCTGGATTTTTTGAAGTGATAAATGGATATATTCATAAATAAAACCAAATAACACCGGCAGGGACTAATGATGAGCATATGCCCAGAGTTGGGATTTATGATTAATCTGATTCAATACTAGTAAAATCCAATAATTAAGATGCTGGGTGTTTTATTCATCTTTAGGGATGCTTCACATTCTGCCTTATTTTTGCATTGTGATTCACTTAAGTTCTAGCCCACTGATGAAGATTGAGGCTATTAATTCCCTGAGGGAAGCGCTCATAGGAAGATGTCAGTGTCTAGCTGTGGAGTAAGATTGTGATTCCTTGATTCCATTTTGCACCATCTTTAAATGAAAATGGGCCTAGCGTGGAACTGATAAGAAACAGGGATGTTGATTAATCTATATGTACAAAAAGTACCTATATATTGCAAAAAGCACCCTATCTATTAGTTTTGTGGGAAATGGACATTTAGACAATTATTAGTAGTAACATTCGATCAGATTGTTCTCAGGCTTTTTGATTCATGAGAATTGATCATATTATTATTAGTGAATCAATGAATAAAGAAACAAACAATGCAGAAATAAAACAACAAAAATATGTCAAGTATAGACCAATGGTAAATATTCCGAGATGTATGAATCAAAGATTTTGATTGAACTCTGTAATTTAATTTATTAGAAAAAAGGAAATTTAGCTGTTTCCTCTGTGGGGGAGGGGCTTACAGCAGAAGTAAGGAACAGTCAAAGATCTGGTTCTTAGTTCTTCATGTCTGTGAATTGTATCTTAAGTAAACCAATGCAAACATACAGATGTATAAAGGAATCATGGCCAATTATGCAAGTCAGTAATAAAAGTAGGATTATTATTATTATTTTCTGAAGCATTGAGTTTCATAACATAAATAGATTAAGTCTCCCTTACTGTTTTTCATGAAGGACATTTCCTATTCCATCAGAAACCATGTTGTAATTTTGGATTGGTGGTGGGGAGCTGATTGTTGGTTTTATTTAGACAAGAAATCATTTATGTTAAAAATAATTGCCTAATTGAAAGAAAGTCAAGCATGGAATAATATTGAGAATATGATAGTGGGTATTATTAATCCAATTCTGTTCACTGAATATTATTTTTAAAAATGATCTAGTTGGCCGGGCGCTGTGGCTCACGCCTGTAATCCTAGCTCTTGGGAGGCCGAGGCGGGCGGATTGCTCAAGGTCAGGAGTTCGAAACCAGCCTGAGCAAGAGCGAGACCCCGTCTCTACTATAAATAGAAAGAAATTAATTGGCCAACTGATATATATATAAAAAATTAGCCGGGCATGGTGGCGCATGCCTGTAGTCCCAGCTACCCGGGAGGCTGAGGCAGAAGGATCACTCGAGCCCAGGAGTTTGAGGTTGCTGTGAGCTAGGCTGACGCCACGGCACTCACTCTAGCCTGGGCAACAAAGCGAGACTCTGTCTCAAAAAAAAAAAAAAAAAAAATGATCTAGTTGTTCATATCTGTGGGCAATGAGCATATGAACAGATACTGCTAGTATTAGTCCAAGTTCTTGTCCAGTGTCTTGGCTTTTATTCATTTTGATATATTGTTAACAGTGAATGAATGAATGAGTACATATTTCCCTTATTTAAAAGAATGCAGAGAATTGGCCAATGAGGATTAAGTGTCATGAAACAAAGATAATGATTAACCCATTTTTACAGATGAAAAGAAATCTAGACTCATTCCACTTTGAACAAAGCACATGTCAGCAGTTGCATGAAATGGTATTTCAGTTCTGGATTGCTGGTGAGTTTTATTCTTTTACTTTAAAAATGAATAAATGATCAAATTATTCTTTGAGTTAATAAATAAAGGAAAAAACATGAGTGAGTCAGTAAACAAATTAATTAAGGCCAATCTTGGCACACTGCTGCTTCATGGCTCACTCTCAGCAATGCACAAATATGATCCCTTAGAAACGTGAAGGAGGTTATGGTGGGCATGTGGTTAGGGAGGATATAGATGGAGTATAAAAATGTAGTGGTTACATTTATTATTCTTATGTCGGGTGGTGGATTTAAGTATTCATTACATTAAAAATTAAACAGTCAATAAATCCATACATAAAAAGTAAGTTGTTTTTGAGTCAATAATGAGTCTATGATAGGAACCAAAGATTATAATTAATCTAATCCCTCATGACTCAAGTCCATTAAAAGAAGTTAAGTTTTTACTGTTCCTTCTTTATAAAATGTGCATTTTACTACACACAATGAACACACATAGCTGATTTAATTATTCAATAATAATAAACATTTTTTTTTTTTTTTACCTTCTTGGGTAAGGAGGTTAGAGATTATTGTCCATAACAGTCAAAATTCATGTCCTTGGTTTAGGTGATTTGCTCATCACTAAATTATGTTAAAGGAATAAATGGCTAAATATATAAATAAATAAAATAAAAGGATACCCTACAGGAACCAGTACTGGAAATGGATCAAAGTTTACTATTAATCCAATTCAATACAACTCAGGTCCACTAAAACTTAGGGAAGGCTTTTGTTCATTTTCAGAAGTTTTTAACATTATATTTTATTTTGTACCGTGGTTGATTTACACATCTCTTCAGTGATAAAGACCAAGGTCATTCACCCCTCCAGCGAGTAGTAGACAAGAAGAGGGAAGATAGTGTTGTTGTCCTCTTCATGAGTAGAGATGGTGGGTCATGGTTGTTCATTAAATTGCATTAGTTATCTATGGCTGTGTGGATATTTAAGGGCTTAAAAAATTTAAGGGCTTAAAACAACAATAAACATTTGTTACTTCTCATGATTTCTATGTGGCGGGAATCCAGGAGAGGCTTACTGTGTGATTTTGGCTTAGGGTCTCTTGTGCAGTTGCAGGCAAGATGTCAGGCAGAGTTGTGGTCTTCTGAAAGCTTGACTGCGCTGGAGGATCTGTTTCTGTGGCTTACTCTCATGGCTGTAAAGTGGTGCTGGTTGTTGGCGGGTGGCCATAGTTGCTTCCCACATGAACCATTCCTCAGGACTGCTTGAGTCTCCTCACAACATGGCAGCCGACTTCCTCCAGAGCAACCAATACCAGACAGAGAAAGGTGGAATCCTCAATGTACTTCGTAATCTAGTTCCAGAAGTCATTCACCGTCACTTCCACACTGTTCTACTGGTAATAGAGGCAGTCATGATATATTATGGGAAGAGACTACACAAGGCCATGCATACCAGGAGGTATGGATCATGTAGAGGCAACCTGGAGGCTGGCTACTACATGTAGTATCTTTATAATACAGACAAATTAAATACAAGAAGTGTGAGTATCGACAAAATTTAAATGTGGGATTAAGGTGAAGTCAGGAAGTTGATTAATCTATTTGTGCAATGCTGAGACCCATTGCAAAAAGATGTAGTTTTAGTTCTATACAAAATAAGCCTATAGATAGATCTCAGTAATATTCTAGGATCTTGTTCTTAGGTTTTTTGATTCATGTATGCTCACTTTATTATTATTAATGACTCAATGAATAAAGCAATAAAGATATGAAGGAATGAAAAAAAAAGAGTACCAAGCCTAGACCAATGATGAGTATTCTGGGGTATTTGAATCAATGATTTTGATTAAACCTCTTAACTCTGAGGTCCACTACAAGAAGAGACCTACTGAATGCCATATGGTAAATGATATTGCAATAGAAGTTAGGATTATTTAGGATTTTGTTCTTAGGTTGTTGAGGTTTGTTGTATTACTGCAAATGAATTAATAAATGAATAACAAAACAGATATATACATGAAGGAAGACAAGGAGAACCATATCTGGCCTTATTAAGAGAATGTATAATATATTTATTTTTCTTAATACATATCTGAAGCACTCAGGTCCAACATAAATTGATTAAATCTGATAACTGTGTATGGAGCATATAGAAGAGATAAGTACATAGAAATCAGTGTTATTGTCTTGCATTATTTAGGTGGTGCTTGTTGCTTATTAAAAACAAGGAAATATGATCTAGTTGTTTATGTGTTGGAGTAATGAGCACATAGACTGCTGTTAATATCATTCAAATTTCTAATGCACTTTGTGTGTTCACAGATACTGATGATATTATGAGTGAATGTATAAGTATATTCATCTCTCAACCAATTATTTCAAAGAGGGTAAAAGCAGTGTTTTTCAGCTTCAGGTCCATTGACATTTTGGGCTAGATAGTTCTTTTTTGTGGGGGGTTGTCCTGTGTGTCTAGTATGTGTAGTGATTTCACTGGCTGTGACAATCAGACGTTTCTACAGACATTGGCAAATGTCCTCTGGGTGGGGGCAACATTGAACCCAGTTGAAAACTACTAGGATAAACATGGCCCAATGAGAAGCATATGTTTAAAAATGTTAATTATTTATCCTCTTGTACCTCACTGATACTTACTTTTAAAAAACCACCACAAGCTATGCTCTTCCCACTTTGGGTCAGTTTCATATGTATAGCTGCATTTAATTTTATTATAATTTTGGGTGGTTGATGGGTTGACAATATTGTGTGTTCACTGGAAAAATAGATGTGTGTGAGTACTTAATAAATGAATAAATAAAGCAATGAATGAATAAATAAATACATAAAAGAGGGTCTGGTATGGACTGCTGGTGAAAATGCACTATGAAAAAAGTATTTCAATTTATCTAATTCTGTACAGGTTCTGTACATGTTCTAGATTCTTGTGTGGTATAAATCCTCCAACTCGATTCAACTTCATAGATTCTTTTTTTTTTTTATTATAGGCCTTTTTATTTCTAAGTAAATTTTAATATTTTCCTGAAAAGTACTATGAAAATCTGCCATTTTGACTGAGTTTGCATTGAAAGTATAGATCTAATCGGGGAAGATTGACATCTTTACAATGTTGAACATTATATATAGAGAGAGTTATGTAAATATATACACATATTTGTTGAATTCTTTTAAAAACTTTCTCAGAATTTCCCAAAAGTAATTTGTAGTTTTCAAATTTGAGACTATTGAAAATGATACTGGATTTTTAATTTCACTTTCCAATTTTTTTTTGTTAACATATGGAAATGTAATTTGATTTCTACTATTCTAGCCTTGCACCCTTAAGCATTGCTATTAATAAATGTGATGATTAGGTCTAGTTTTATTATAGACTTCTTCAGATTTTCTACATTTAGTTACTACATGTATAATTTAAAAAATTTTTCTCTTTTAACAAACAATATGGCTTGATTTATTTTTCTTGCCTAACCATATCCCCATTACAATATTGAGTAAAAGTGGTAAAAGCAAATGTACTTGATTTTTTTCTAATATAAGGGAAAGGTGGCCTGTTTCTTTAATAAATAGGATGTTGGCTGCAAAAAATAAAAATAAAAAGGTATATATAAAAATAAGAAAAATAAAAAAACATCATGCATTACCTGATGATAGGAATGTTTTATGAAAAAAAAAAAACACCAAAATGATTTTATTTCAATTCAGCACAACTAAGATCATTAAAGAAAATAAGGGAGTGGCCATTTCCATCACTTTTAGAACCGAATACTGTTTTATTTTTGCACCACAGCTAATTTAAATTTCCTCAAGTGACCTAGTCTGTTGAATCTTTAAGGGTAACACATAAGAAAATGATTGATAGTGTTTCTGTTTCGACGTCTAATGGTGTGTTTATGGTCATTTACTGTACCTCCCAGCACCTTGGGAGGGTGGGGCGAGAGCATTGCTGGAAGCCAGGAGTTCAAGACCAGCCTAGGCAGCATAGTGAGACTCCGACCCTACAAAAAATTAAAAAAAATTTTAATTAGTGGCACATGCCCCTAGTCCTAGCTACTTAGGAGGCTGAGGCAACAGGATTGCTTGAGCCAGGAATTGGAGGCTCCAGTGAGCTATGATGACACCACTGCACTTCAGCCTGGGCAATAGAGTGAGACTCTGTCTCTTAAAAAAAAAATGATTAAAAGAATAAATAAATAAATTAGATTAAATTAAATTAAATGTGGGCAAATTAAATGAAGAGTAAACATGGAGCAGTGATGAGTGAAGGATTGCTAAGAAGCAGGGAGATTAATTAATAATCCATGTGTTTGACTTTGGGGCTCATTGTAAAAGAGGTAGTCTATCAGCTTTGTTGATCTTAGTAGTTTCATGATTCTTACTAGTGGGATTTGGGAATTTTTTTTCTGTTGATTTTATTATTATCAGTGAATCAATGAATATATCACTAAACAAAGGTGCAAATGAGGGAGGAAAGAGTTCCAAGCCAAGGCCAATGATGAATATCCTGGGTGTCTGAATCAAGCATTTTGATTAAACCCTATAGCTCTGAGATACATTAGGAAAAGAAAACTGTCCTGTTATTTCTGTGGGAAATAAGCTTATAGCAGAAGTTAGGAAAAGTCAGATTTTGTTCTTGGTCTGTTGAGGTTCTTGAGTACAGATTATATTTTTTATAAGTAAATTCTTACATAAATATAAGAATAAAACATATAAACAAAGACACGGAGGGCCATAATGGTCAATTATGAGAGCATAGGATGAAATAAGGAAGTGCTGATTTCCCATAAAAATGGTTCAAGGCTCTTACACTTTTGGGTAAGGAGCGTAAGAATACAGCTTTATGTAAGAATCGGCGTTGTTGATTGGTGACTGGTTGTTGTTTTTTCTAAATGCTGCTCCCTTTTTTCTTTTTAAGATTGTTTTTTTTTTTGAGACAGAGTCTCGCTTTGTTGCCCAGGCTAGAGTGAGTGCCGTGGCGTCAGCCTAGCTCATAGCAACCTCAAAC